ATTATCAATTGTTCTGTGTGTTCTGTAACGTTTGTAATGTGGGGTATTATAATTTAAAGCAGCACACAGTGTTCTATTATGAATATAGGTAATATGAATTGCTGCTTTGGCCCATAATGTAAACAGTAATTCAGTAGATGTTAGATATGCTCTTACACCTCTAAATATAGTTTTATGTGTTTGTTCTGCTATTCTGTTCTGTTGTAGAGTATGATGTACTGTTAATCTTTGTTTTGTTCCTTGTGAATCTAAATATTGTTGGAAATCTTCACTAAGGAATACAGTATCATTATCACTTTGTAAAAGTTTTATTTTAACTCTGTGCTGTGTAAATATTTTAGTTGTCCATCATACATATTGTGTATATGCATTGGATTTTGTTTGTAATTTGAGCATTATGCACCAACAAGTAGAATTGTCTACAATTGTTAATAAGTAGTGTATGTTCTTATATGTGTGTGGTTCAATAGGACCAATGATATTGATATGAATAAGATCTCCAAATTGATTTGCAAGAGGAGATTGACATAGTTTTGGTATTGGTGTACATTCAATATTTACTTTTATGCATTCAATACATTCTTTTTCTTTGTAGTTTGTTATTTTAGTTGATAGTACACTTGGTTGTGTCTTTAATAATTGTTTAATATAATTGTAACTTATGTGTCTGAGGCATTTATGTATATCATAAATAGATAGTTCGTTCATTGTTTTTAATAAATGATTATTGTACAAAATATACAAGTTATTTCTCAATCATATATGTCCAATGTATTTGTTACATGGTGATGTTATAGTACAATTATTGTTTGTAAACATAAAAGAATAACCTTCCCTACATAGTAGTGCTTGACTTATGAGGGAAAAGGTCATTTGTGGATAGTAATAGACGTTTTGTAATGTTATGACACTTTTTTCTTGTATATTCTTCGGGATTTCAATACACATAGATCCAGCTCAATTAAGAGTCATTGTTGACCTATTTACAATAGTTACAATTGTAGGAGTTATGTTGTGTACATCTGTTAATCAAAATAGATAAGGAGTAGCATGTATTGATGCACTAGAATCGAGTAAATCCATCGTTTGTGTATAGGATTTCTTGTTAGCTATGATTGTATTTGTAAATATGTTGGTACATACCCAGGAAGCATATTGTTTGAATTGTTTGTCCTGGTTGCTCGGAATAAGAGTGTAGACATTATTGTTCATTTCAACATCACTTTCCTTTAATTCAATGTTGTTTTCGTTTGGGTTTTCAATAATAAATGCGTTCGTTGTGTTTTCCACAGTTTGATTCGTTTTATGCACAATGTTAGCCTGATGTTTGGCACGTGCAAGCTTCATAGCTTCAGTAGGAGGTTTGTGGCATTCCTTAGAGAAATGTCCTGTTTTTCTGCAATTGAAACATTTTGCTTTTGTTGGATTGAACAGATTTGGCAGATTGAATTTCCTCTGCTTATTGGCTTTATACATTGTATTAATGTGTGCATTATTTTTCGTCCAATCATTGGAATCTTGTGCTTGTTTAGCACAGTAATCATTGTAGGCATTCTGCAATGCAAGGATTAGTTGCTTTGGTTCGACTTTCTTATGTTCATTGACTGGTTTGCCTTTGTTTTGGGCATCAGTAGATTGTATTATTGTATTTACTATGTGTGTATATTGCTCAGGAGTGGCAAGCAATATTGCTGCTTTGTATGTAGAGTCACATGGTGGATCACTGTTAGCAGACAGAGTTGTGTATGCTTCCTCAAGTCTGTCTAATGTACATCCAAAATGTTTTACATGGTCTCTACAAATAAACAGTGCTGATTCATTGATGGCCTTTTTACATGCTGTCTGGGGGTTAAAGTGTTCTTCAAGCACTTTCATTAACTGAGGGATAGACATATTGAAGTGCATATAGTTTGCCAATATTGTGTCAGCAATGTTATTGACTATGCATGCATGAATGGCCTTAGCCATCTCCCTCTCAGCTTCGTTCTGCAGTTCATCCTTTAGTAAGTGTTCAAAGCATGTAGCTGCAACACTAGAAACAATGCAGTAGTGCCACATCTTGTAGTTTGCTTTGGTCTTAAGCATTGTAATGTTTTGACCAAAGTATTTAGGTACATTGGCTGGTTTACAGCATGTATCTGTACGTGGGGGAACCATGATGCAAATGTGTGCGAATGTATGCAAGTAAAGAGTTTAGAGTGTACAGTGGATGCATGTATGCAGGGAGCTCAAGGCTCATAACCTGTTGAGAGGGAGAACTTAAGGGGGGCACACATAGACAAGGGGTGAGGTGACGATTGACCACTCAGTGTCTCTCGTCCTTATATTGTATGTATTCTAACTGAGACATTATGAAGTCATTGTCTTGTGGTTCGTCTGTTGATGAACTAATCATCTCATAATACCTGCTCATATTGTGATTACAATTCGCAAACAAGTGAACTCTGTCTTTCCACAAAGCCCACCGAGTCTGCCTGATGTGGTACACGAGCCGAAGCTCTATTTCAACACAACTCACATGTGCAGGACCAACATCATCGTTTCTGGCACGGATTCTGGCTTAGAGGCGTTCAGCCATAATCCAGCAGATGATAGCTTCGCGCCATTGCCCACTCGGACAGGCGCAAATACCAAATATCTGAATGAACGGTTCCTCTCGTACTAAGTTCAATTACCATTACGATGACCCTCCATCAGTAGGGTAAAACTAACCTGTCTCACGACGGTCTAAACCCAGCTCACGTTCCCTATTAGTGGGTGAACAATCCAACGCTTACCGAATTCTGCTTCGGTATGATAGGAAGAGCCGACATCGAAGGATCAAAAAGCAACGTCGCTATGAACGCTTGGCTGCCACAAGCCAGTTATCCCTGTGGTACGTCTTTCTCCAACACTAGTATAATAAAATACAAAGTGTCTCTTGAGCTCTAGAAACTCTTTCATCTCAAGACTTCATTTCTGAAGGGACAGACTCTATCTTAAGCCCTAAGTATAATAATAATGGTAATAGTAATAATAGTAATTACAATTATACTTAGAACCGACTGACATCTAGTCGTTGAACTGCATCCATAGATATTATTACAATAATTATAATAATAATAATACCCTTAGGACTTGGCTGCGGATTATCCAATCCTTTCCGTTATTACTATACCCGAGGTCATTACCCTGGTGCACACTACAAGTTTCCTTATAGTAGCAGTAGGAAAGGCTCTAAGGAACTCCCCGCACTTTGACAGTCTTGCAGAATTACTGAAACTAGTAATCCTACTAGCAGAACACTTTGAGTCTGCTCTTAAAAGCTAACCTTTAACTTTTCTGGCACCTCTAGCCTCAAATTCCGAGGGACTAAAGGATCGATAGGCCACACTTTCATGGTTTGTATTCACACTGAAAATCAA